ACCACGTCTTTGATCGGATTGATATCCAACAGGTACCCACATTTTAGTCCAGGCGGTCAACACCACCTAGATCTATGTTTGAGTTGTACCTGTTGATTAAATATGGCTCATCATCAAGGATTATTTTTTTCTCCTTTGCTGACCACCTCGTAACACGGAACTGAGCGCTGCTTCGCAGTTGCCTTGCTGGTAAATCGTTTGATGACAAAGATTCTTGCACATCATCATTGACATCATCTTCGTCTGAACTCTGTTCATCCCCTGGTGGAGATATGTAGACATCGGCTGAAGCAATTTCAGTATCATCATCTTCCGATTGGCTGAGCACTTCATTCAACGTAAATGCCTTTGATAATGGACAAAATATAAAGAAGCCAAACTTTTAAAGAAAACACAAGATGTCTAAAGCACCTATACACCCACTTATACACCCTGATATGCCTAAACACCCACCTATACAAACAATCCTGCGTAAACTTGTATACCCACTTATACCGATACATCGACTTATTACATCTCAGTTGCTCACGTTTTCACCCCCCTCAGAATGCGCAAGAATATGGTTTAAAAATAGATTCCCTTTAGGTGGGTGACAAAAAGGCACCAAGACGAAATTATTAGGAGCAGAATAGATATTTATAGCCTATGCACCCAGGTATTATACCTATACACCCACTTATACCACCCCCCTACCCCGCGTACAACTTTGCCTTTACACTCACGTATATGTATACACCCTGAAACCTATAACACACCCACTCTTAGCTGATAACACCCTCCACCCATCCACCCCCCCCCTTCCCGGGCAAAAAATCCCGAAAAGCGTGGGATACAAACCGTGTACCCTCTATGCACCCGCTCACACCTATATACACCCATTAATCCATATAGCACAAAGCCCAGTGTCCTTTATAAAGGACGTTTAACTTGGAGAAACACTGGGGCCATTCGTGCCCAGTGTCCTCTATAAAGGACACTTGGATTTTTTTATATTTTCTGAAAAAGTATTGATAGAATGATTACAACAATTGCAGGTATGGGTGAATGTAATATTTATACACATTTGCACAGCCCTGTTTTAGTTGTTTCAAAAGCATTTGTGAAATTACGGTCTCATCTTTTTGGTTGGGTGTCCTTTTCTGCCATTTTTTGAAAGAGAGGAGGGAAAATGTACACCGCAAAAAACAAAAAGTGGATAGGAAATTAGCGTGAAAGTAATAGAAAAGAATAACCTCTTTACCATCTGAGGAAGCAAAACAGTAATGATTTGCTTGCATTGGTGCTCTTGTCCAGTCGATTTAAAAAATGTCCTTTAAAAAGGACACTGGGCGTGAATGGGTTACTTGTTGGGTCACTGGCCCACTGGTCCACTGGAGCGCCGGGCAAAGTTACGTGCATGTTGGCAAATTAATAAATGAGCTACATTAAAGTACATTTTCCCGTGGGCATTCAAAAGTGAGCAAGTTATAAAATATGTTTACTCATACTAACTACTTACACGTCTCACCCCCCCCCCCTTCCACCCCAGTCTGTGTATCCAAGCACGACACAAGAGTGCACCATTGTAATTTCAACAGTTACTCTCAGTATAACCATATTGGTACATGTATTCCACTAGAATGTTGTAACTGGTGCACTCCTTATTATTATACACTGACCACATTTAAACGCAACACTTAGGTCCCATCAATCTTAAGCGTTCATAACATTTTTTAAAATTGCCGTCTATTGGCGATGGAGTTGATTTCGTTCATTATCAAAAAGACAACATTTCCACCGGCAGGTAATAATTTATTCTTTGAAATGATCATTACAAAAAGACACGTTGTGTTTCTTGTGTGTCCACAAAGTTATCTCTCCTCCTTATTCCAAAATGTTTTCATAAACACTGCTCGATATTTCGAACTCATTTTCATATAAACAAATATATTTACGCTGGAGTTGACCGTTTCTGTTAGAAACGATGAAGTCCAAACGACAAGATAGATGTTTCGATAGACACCATCAATACGGAAACTTGGGTCAATCACCATGTAGAGAAACAAGAGCGTGGGAGGTACGGCGCAGACGATGAAAATGGCAGCGATGAAAGTCACCATTTTTACAACCTTTTGATCTTTGACCCCAACTCCTTCCGCTGCACGATCAGACTTGGCTGCAGTCGCCTGACGCCATTTTGTTTTACTCTTGAGTTTGACGATAAGAACGATGGTACAGCAGATAACGAAGACGAAGGAAAATGTCGTAGAAAATACACCCAGAGTGAGAAACATAATAGCTTCTAGCATTTCTCTATCTGCAGCGAACGTGGTTTTTAACACAGTAGCATTCACTGTGAAATCAAAAACCCACTCAAGTCTGTTTCCAAGGTAGAAGGGGATCATCAAAAGGGACATGGCAATGTAGATGGAGATAATAATTGTCTTTGTCCTTCCTGGTGTGATGATCGTCTTCACCTTCAGAGGGACAGCGATACACAGACATCGTTCGAAGGTGATGAAGGCGGTAATAAAACTGGCGATTTTGACAAAGAGGATATGAGGCGTTGCCCCCGTGAGATATAAGATATCTTTGGGGTCAAAGTTCAATTCAGAACGGTAGAAAAGAGGGTTCTCGCAGATGCTTATCCATATCATGGTCAGCAAGGAGCACAGGTCAGACACAGCGAGCCCTGAAATGATGGACATTATACGAGGTGGAAAAAATGCTAAACAAAATGTTATTGTTATTCTTCGTTTTATTTCTGTTTTTGTTTTAGTTGAGGTTTAACGGCGCTCGCAAGTGCATAAGATCATATGAGGGCCACGGGGTGGAAGTCAACAGAGAGGTCCTAACAGAGAATCAGGCTTTCTCTGCTCACTCCTCTAGCTTCAACAGCACAAAGTCTGCTTCGACTATCAAGGCACCCCGAAAATAACGGGTCACAAGAGTGTGACGAACGTACAAAAGAAGTACAGGAAAAAATGACGATAGTAAGGATTAGTAAAGAAAAGCTGCAGTTCCCTGTTGCAGTTCAGGCACAGTTATGAGCATGACATTATTGAATCAGCCCATTTACAATTCTACTGTGCATAAGAACAAGTTAATGTCCCATCTTTGGGAATGGTCAAAAGACATTTCAGTCTGTGGCACCGCCCGGAGCATTAAATTTGGTGTCATGTAATATAATTATATTATTATCCGAGATATTTAAACAGTTGAACTTGTTTAATCTTGTCGCCTTCGATAATGAGATTGCAGAAACAGTTTACGGCTTCTTATAGTACCATGGATTCTGTTTTCTTCACATTCAACATTCCGTCTATGTCTAGCTAAGGTGAATATAGCATTTCTGGTACCATTTTACAGGAACAAAGCCGAATTGTGTTTTAGGCTGAAAATATACAGCCACGCACAACTCAAGTGCGCCTCAAAAAAGTCTTTCCTTCCTCGGCGTAGCGGAACACTCCGATAGCAGGGCGGGCCTGTCCGCACGTCTTGAAGAAGTTGCTGCACTCACTCACGTCGTTTTTGGATCCTCACGAATCCTCACGTCTTGTCGTGTCAGTGAAATCACCGATAGGAAAGAAAGAGGAGGGCACGACTTTTTTTGCGGCGCACGTCAGTTGTGCGTGGCAGTATATATTCAGCCTTAGTTCTCGCAGCAGGATTAGCGTACAATGACTTAAAGGGATTATTTTTCTATGAATCTCACACTCAGTCGCACCTAGTGCTTTAGATAAAGATATAAAAGCTGACTTCATCTCATCGCTGTAACAGATAAAAAAAATAAGAGCTTCGTTGTTATTCCAATGCCTAGTTCTTTTATTTTTCTGACAAAAACTGTAAGTGGGGAATTAGCTATCCCTTTGCCTTTACTTTATTTTCATGTTCTAACTTGCAGTTTGTACTTCTGCCTTTCCATGATTGTTCTTGGGAGATTACAGCAGTGCTTTCTTGTTTCCTACAGCTGGTTTGTGTACAGTTTTCTCTGCTAGCCTTTGTCATAAGGAGACATCTCATAGGGCAGTGGGGGTTTTAGTAGACTTTATCGTGCTTCCCATCGCAAAGATGGTCCCTATTTTGAGTATATGAGATATTTTCTAAAGCACCTGTGCTACGAGGGTTCTCCTCTACTCTCCCCGACCATCTCCCATTTGAATTTGGTTTACGACTGCTTAGCAGAGCTCACCTCCATATCTGAAGGCCTTTCCCCTCTAAACCACCCGGAGACGCGCTGGGCAAGGTATGAGGACCCATCATGACTTCAGTAAATACGGTCTTCTATCTCTACCGCTTTGGGATATTTTGATCACCAAACTTGTTGTAGCCACTGCGTGTTTTTTTCGGGCTCCGATTAATGTTCTTAAAAAAACACAGAACAGAAGTCAGGAGTCATATTACTGGTGTTTTAAAAACTTTTCACATTTTGGGTAACAGACTTCTGTGGTGTACTGGTCAGGAGCTTCGCAGTCGCACACAGAAGATTGTGTGAGTTTGATTCAAGAGTGGGGAAGATTATTTATAGAGTGCCTTCGTCTTTATGCTGAAACATTGCCCCCCCTCCCCCTCCCCCAAGCCCACCCTAGCCTGGGTTGGACATGGCAGGCAGCGAAAAAGTAGCAACCTTCTAAATGATCAAAATTATGTCGATGAGATCTTAAAGTATGTACAATCGAGTCTGTCACAAACGGTGGAATCAGGCACTCAACAATGTTTGGGCTTATGGAGTTATTGGCATAGCCTTAAAGCTTCTTCATTTGTCTTGCTCGTGGGGAAACATGTATAATTAACCTATCTTGAATAGAGGTCGAGATATTTGTGACTGAAGGACGTGGGGGTCGCCTGGCGTGAGAGGTACATTTAGATAGAAAATAGCCTCTTAGGTTTGGTGACTTCCAAAGTTTGAGAGTCCTAGGAAACTGCAAATTCTCTTTTTTGTGTCTTTAATCCATGTTTTTCAGTAAAATTCAGACAAAAATGTTTTCAGATTGACACAAAAGCTGTTCAGCTGAAAACAAAAGAAACCCCACATTATTCATAAGAAAAAAATTGATAAGAATTGCCCGCCAGGCGGAGAAATATCTGTTTCTTCGTTTTCGTTATTTTGACAAGCGCCTGTTTTCATCACGATGCCATACAGTTACATTTTCTTTTCTCCCTTCGGGGGAGAGGGGGGGGGGGGTGACTATAAGTTGGATTTTGTCACCAAGTCCACCAGAATTAATGGTCCCTGTAAAGGGGGGGGGGGGAGGGGGGGGGGAGGGAAGAGAAGTTGTAGTCAAAAAATGGGAAATTAAAAATGCCTACTGTACGATCTTTTTGCTTTGTTTTGATTTTTGCGTGTTTTGATTTTTTTAGCACGATTATCTTACTTTTAAAGAAATTGCCCTGGCTATTTTGTTTGTCAAAGTAGTTTAGAATTTGCCATTTGTGTTGCCCAGTGTCATAGTATTATGTTCCAAAGCAGTAGCAGCTCTTTTGACGCAAACAACTTGTATTGGCGTTTTTTTTTATATAAGTCGAAAAAATCGCGAGAATACAATGTGTTTCTTTCTCTTTTAAAATATGTGGATGTATGGGCCAAAGGCCTTTCAAATCAATAAATCATTTTGAATCTCTCTGTTAAAATACAAGGATTGAGGGTTTAGAACAGTAGAAAAAATTGCTGACATATTGTACATATTTTGTGTGTGTGCTGGATCCTATATTTCATCATTATCTCTATTACATTCTATTCACTTAAGAGGACTACGCGTTACTTTTTCAGGACTGTTGGATAGACACATTACTTGTTAGTGACTGTGGATTTTTTTTTCATGGCTCTTGAATAGACACTTTACTGTAAATTACAGTGAAAGTGGCTGTAGATTTAATTATCTGTTAGTAACTGTAGATTTAATTATTTGTACGTAACTGAAGATATGGTTATTTGTTAGTAACGTTACTGTAGATGTGATAATTGCCATCTCACCCACGAGGCTGATGTTCATGCTGTCCCGAAAGCCTTGCTTGGCAAACACTACAATGTTGATGATATTGGAGGCCACGCCGAACAGACTGAGGAGACCAGAGATGACCACCATATTGACCACTTGGACAATGTACCACTGCTCGTCGCTAACAATTTTTGCATAATATGAACCAGAAAGGGATGGTGTTGTCATTGGCAAGTTCATTTTCTGGTCGCGAGAGTAAGTTGAGTTGTTTCCCAACAAAGGTGAAATCAACATTCTGGGTGGGAGAGACGTGTGGGACATCGGCACCAGTTACTTTAGCACTAGGGTCCTCCCCTATTTCAGGCACAGATCTTTATTTATACTCTCTGTACAAAGGAAACCAATGCTTTATCAAAGACAAAAACCACACTATAGTTTAACATCGCTCTTTCTTTGTGTTAATGCAACACCCTTTATCATTATGGCAGCTATTTATAATAAGATGAAGATTATATCTTTAAAATTGAATAACAAGAATGTAATACTTGTCAGATATCTGTGTCATATAATCATATTCAATGGCATTGATCATTTATCATAATTACTGTAGTTAGATTTGTGTAGTTATACTGAACGTCAGGGCTGACAGTCTAACAACCATAATTCTAACTATCTAAGTAAACATTCAGCACAGAATTATAAAGATCTGAATGTCACAGTCATCGTGGTGACAATATCGACCCTCAATCAAAAGGGGTAAAAATCTCCTCGTTTGTCAGATTCAAAATACAACTCTTTGCTGTGTCTGACTCTGACCCTGTGTGCCCATTACCACAGCAGATTAAAAAGAATGTATCTTATCAAAGGTCAACCTTTGGGAACCTGCACACGGGTGGGTTACATTTTTATGCCAGCAATTATAAGTCGAAGCACAGACAAAATGTAAAAGACAGCGCATATTTGATCATTGATTTGAGCTCACTTAAATGGCTCTACTTATATAATTTGACTAAAATTGACATTTCCGCTGGTGTGAACTGTCCCGCGCTTTATCTTTGGCAGTTTGTCTTTCTTTGTTGGACTTTTCTTGATTTTAAAATCTACGACTCATGGACACAATTTATTTAGATCGTATAGGAGGCAGGCTTCGCTTCTCCCTGTCAAGGCCTACCCAGGCAGAGAGGAATACGATGTCACAGCAGAAAGTCGAGATACTTGATGAAAAACAGTTTTCAGACGGGACTCAAACACCCGTCTTCTACGTGTGACGGCGAGCGCCATGACGTCATACTGCAGATGCCGGTGAGCTTTTTGAGTATTGTGAACAGATTGAAACTGTCAAAACACAAAGATACAAGGGTCCAAACCATGCAGATGAGAGATAATATAAACAACCGCAATATATAACCGATTAGTTGAAGGGCCTAGGCCTATTTCTATACCAAGGCCCAATCACATTTCCAGAGTTTCGAGAAAATATGAAAAAACACGTTTCTGATAACAACGGCTGCCTGTGGAAAGAAACGTTTATTAGTATGATGATTACAACGTTTTTAACATTATGAGAGTTTTGTAGCAGCCTATCACCAGCAGAAAAGACAAAACAATATCAAATTCTTATTTTCTTGCATTCAATAATAAGGTTAAGTCCATGCTGCTGGGCATAACCTTCCTTTAGACCTGGCATTTTACTTGATTGAAAAGGGTAAAAAAAATCAAGGACGTTCAACACTGTGGTTAAATCCAAGCCAGCAAGTAGCCTATTCCACATAGTCATCAGCGTTGTCTTCCTTGACATGAAACTGGAAACTTTTTTAGAAGGGTCCGGTATTTTTGGGAATGATTTTCTTCCTGTGGAGTTCCAACAAATCCTTCAACTTTGCCTCCTTATCAACAGGGGTTTGTTGTATTTCTCCTCTGCTGTGGGAACAGATCGAATCTCACGTTTGAGCAATAGCTCTTTCTTCCACGGTCCCACTTCATTGACAGTGTACCGGTACCAAACTTCTGTTGCGTGAGGTCTAAGTGTTAAGTAGGGTGTGTACTGTCTGGCCCTTCGCTTTGTCCAAAGAGAACCAGTGGATATTGATGATAAAAAGTTTACTTCCAGAGGTGTCTTTGAATGTAGACTTTGGAAGGCGCTCATTGGCTCATTTCGTAAAGTCCAAAATGTCCTTCCCCTGGATGGAATTCATAATAAAAAGGTGTGATTGTGATTTTCTTGGATTGTTTTCACCAGTGGGAATCATGGCTCCTTTCTCTATTAGTCCAAAGTCCCCATCATTGGACAAGAACATGTGACCTCTGTACAGGAAAATGTGATAGACCTTTTCATACGTGTTTCTTTTTGATGAGTGATTGAAGGAAAGCTATCATTCCTTTATTCGTATTCTGTCCAGGACATCTGTCGTTGAACAAAATTAAGTGACTTTGCATTCCGCGCCCACTGTTTTAGAACTTTGAGAAAGCATGAACAGACTTCAGCTAACCCTTTGCCAGCTTCCGCCCCACTGCATATTTCCCTTATGGCCTCATCATTTTCCAAGTCATGAACCCCGAAGTTATAAGTTCATAGCAAACGCTTCTACTTCTTTGTGTTTGTGCAAGATAACTTTTTGGGAATCAGATGTGTAGGCATCAAGATCTGGGTCTGATTTAGCTGCTTTAGTTTGCCTTTCCAAGTGAGACCACAGTACACGCGAGAGCTGAAGCTAGCATGACGCTACAGATGAACTTGTGGGTGGCCATACTGGACATAAACGGCAACCTTGGGGGAAACAGCTGAGGTGAAAACTGGTGTGTTGACTGGCCCATGGTTTAGAAACACGATTCAAGGGACGAGGTGAGTAATTTTCGAAAATCACTTGGAGCTCGTCTGGAGAGCCAGGGGATGAAATCTATAGACACTGAAATGGGGGGGGGGGGGGGGGGGGGGGGGGGCGTGAGAGAAAGAGAGAGACGAATAAGTGTATGCAAATGGAATGTTTTTGAGAAAAATAAATAGGATCATAATATTGTTTTGCATGCCCAGGCGTGTTGTGCGCGCACATTGTAAAGCTTTGCTAGCTAAAATAAATAGGCCCGATTAAATGAGGGTCGTTAATGCTGGAACTTTACTCCTGCATGCATAACACGCCTGAGCACGCACACAGTCTTGACAGCGCGCCTGACGCAATATCAACTCACATTGAGTGACAATAACAATGACAAGAAAGGAAAAAGAAAGTAGATAGCTTGGAAAAGGTAGATGAAAAACAAAGGAAACTTTTGTAGAGACTTGACAGAACGTCGGGTCGTGAACTAAGCAAAAGCGAATTAAAGTTTATTTCCAAGCGCCTTATATGCGCCTGTGCTTTTAAAAACCATGACAAAACAGAACTAAAAGTCATAGACAGAGCTAGTAAGAAAGAAACTGGGTTAGAAAACAAAAATACAAAAAGAAACTGGAAGATCTGTTTCGATCAAATACGCTCGTGAGACATGGTCTGGGCTTAAGACCATAGTAGGCAACAAACATTCTCTTTGTCAACACATATATTCTAAAGTTGATAATACATTGATGGCCATTTTCTGTCATTCAACCATAGAAAGTATGATCTGTTTTTGTATAACAGCATGGGCCAGGAACACAAGACAACACAATAAAGAAAAAAGAAATCGACTTAAACGGAAAGCATGTAAAATTTCAACATCTAGATCTACATTCCCCTACTTGGATGAATTGTACATAACAGCTTGCACTAAAACATCCTTTGTTCCCTCAAATAAAACATCAGTCAGAAGTAAAAGACCTAGGCTTCTGATCTGTAACAAAGTAAGATACAGAAGCTCATTTTTACCATAAAAATTCTTCCATCTGAAGCCTCTCTTTTCTGCGGCTTCTTTTGTCCATTTCCTGCAGCTGTCTTGTCATTTCACCGTGGCGTACTCCCTGACGTATGATGCCCTTCCATACTCCTCGGTCCCCAGCAAACGTTTCCCCGTGGTCTGCATCTATGCCTGTTGTCTTCAGGTCGCGCTTACAGACGTCTTTGTAGCGCAGTACTGGGCGTCCTAAGCCTCGATGTCCTGCAGTCAGTTCACCGTACAGAATGTCTTTCGGAATGCGTCCATCATCCATGCGATGTATGTGGCCGATCCATCGAAGCCGACGCTGGCGGAGTAAGAGGTGCAAGCTGAGAGAACCAGTCTTTTTAAGGACAGATGTATTGTAACCATGTCCTCCCAATTAATGCCCAGGATTCTGCGTAGACATCGGAGATTGAAACTTTCTAGGCGGCTCTCTGTTTGGCGTAAATCGTCCAGGTTTCGCTGTCATGGAGCAGTGTGCTAAGGACACACGCTTGGTAGACCCTAAGCTTTGTTTTCTGGGTCAGACTACTGCTCTTCCACACTTTCTTGTCAAGTTTCGACAGAACAGCTGCAGCTTTGGCCTTGCGTATGTCGATTTCTTTGTCCAGGGATATACTGCTTGTTATAGTGGAACCCAGGTAAACGAAATGCTCTGCGTTTTCAAGCACTGTTTCATCAATACTGATTGAGGGTGGTGTGAGTACACCCCTGCCCAAGACATTGGTCTTTTTAATACTTATTGTGAGTCCAAACTCTCTGCCTTTTAAAACAAACACACAATTACACTCTCACACACACACACACACACACACACACACACACACACACACACACCCCACTCACTCTCTCTCT